ACATCACATATTTAATATTTACAAGTAAATTTTCAAAATTTACAACTCAAATTTCTTACATTTACAAGTGACTTTTTACACAGCAATAGGTTAATATTTACAAGTCAACTTCACATATTTACAAATAAAATTTCACAAATTTACAAGTTAAATATCTTAATTTACAAGTCTAACTTGTGAATTTAGGAACTTTAATTTATAAATGTTAAAGTATTAATATTACATGAGGTTGACTTGTAACTGTAAGAATTTTTAATTGTAAATTTTTAATATTTACTTATTAATATGTGATGTTTAATTGGCAAACACTAACATATTAATATTTAATAAAAATGTTTTTCAAAAAAAAAAATATTTTTAATTGGTCAACACTAGCTTGTGACCGGTCAACAACTCCTAACCATTGATCAATGCCAACTAGCTCTAGTCAAAAAGAGTAAGAATCTAAGGGCATTTATATCATTTTACATGATAAATTAATAACCACAATCAAATCTAATGGGATTTAAGTGTATTTTTATAAATGTATGAGATTCATTTGTGAATATATTCCGTATATGGGACTTATTTGTAATTTTTTTTCAGAATAACGTGGTGCTTGGTTGACATGAAAAAATAGATAGAAGAGAAAAGTGAAACAACATAGTTTTCTTTCATTATATTGCTAACTTAGCATAATAAGAAAAAACAAGGAGTAAGAAAAATTTTTAATTTTATTTAGATAATGATAACTTTATTATTTGTAAGAAATAATACATATATATATAAAATAAAAATTAATATATTAACATATTATTTATATAATTTTCATCATATATTATAATGAAATAAAAATATAATTGCAAATTATATTATTGAATTTTAAATTTTATTTCAAAAATTATTAAATATACAATAATAAAAAAATTTAAAATATAATTGAATATAAGAAAATGAATGGAGGGCAAGAACTAAAATCTTCATATTCTTAGAAAGATAAGTTAAAAGAAAAAACATGTGAGTCTTATATATTATTTCCTCCCAAAAGTCCCACATATTATTTCTCTCAATTTTCTCCCCCTCATGGGAGCAAATACAATTTTTCTCTCACTTCTCACCCCCCTACTTCTATCCGGCCAAGCACAATAGCTGTTTTTTTAAAATAAAATTGAATAGTATTCATAAATTGAGCTAAACATGTACTAAAAAAACTATAAGAGAGCCAAAGTCATTCATCATCTACCCTCCACATCAAGATAAGATGATAGATGATCGAAGATGCAAAAGCAACTCCCGTCAAAGTAAGCTTTCCTAGCTAAACTATGTGCAAAACTAATAACATCTCTATAAACAAAGTTAATGGAAAGAGAACAATTCCTATTTAAAATACTTATACCATAAGATATGATATCATGGAAAGGGTGATCATCATTAAAGCCTCTAGTCATAAGGTCAATGGCTTCAACGCAATTGAAGTATACTTTTTATTTTCTCTAGCCCTTTTCACTAACAGGCTTCAAGTCCCATTATAATTCCCATAATTTCAGCTAAAATCTGTGGAAGTTGCCCAATTCTGTCACTGAAGCTCATAACCCAATTGCCATTCCCATATGTCACAGTTCCTCCACATCCAGCCAAACTATTAGCATGCATTGAACCAGCAACATGCAATCTTTCAAATCCTTTATCGGTAGGTGCCATTCATCAATCGAATTAAGGGTGGATTTTTCCATGTTAACTCTCCTAGTCAAACGACATTAGTCAAGGATTTCATAATGCATTTGTTTGCATCAATCTATAGCTTCGTCTCTTCATCTCCAAATAAATTTGTGCATCTATTGGTCCAGAGTTCCCAGCACATATGAGCAAAAATGGTGGTCTTGGGTACCTTTTTTGAAGACTCAGAGCCAATACCATTTTTTGCATTCCTTTTAATCCAGTCAAGACAATGTTGCTGCATAAAATTGCTCTAGTGTTCTGGTTTAACAATTTGCCTCCAAGCATCTCTTGTAACTTTGCAGTCTCTAACAATGTGCATTATTGTCTCTTCCTCATTGAACCCCATCAGACATGTGCTTGGTGTTGTTAAGCCCCTCCTTTCTCCAAGTTATGCAAAGTGCACTCTCTTGTTCCCCAAGAGCCAAATGAAATTTTTCATCTTCTCAGGTGCTCTCCATCTCCAAATTTTTGTCCAAAGGTTGTCTCTATTTACGCTAGTACCTACAAAAATAAAGTCATACACAAATTTAATGTTAAAAATGCCATTAGTGGATAACTTCCACACAAATTTATCATTCCCTCTCAACATGCTAGGTGGGCTAGTGCTAGTAATTCAACTAATGATAGAGAGAGTGAGCCAATTTGCCATTTTAGTTGTGTCTCACGCACCACTAGATGTAGTAAAATCTTCAAGGGTGCTTCAATATCCAAAGAGAGATTGTTGCTTCTAACATACTTGATCAAAGGTTCATTCATAACAAACCAGTTATCATACCAGAATTTTGAAGATTTGCGCGGGTTGCATCTTTTATCTAGTCCCTCTTTGAAAGTATCCCACACTTTAATAATACTTTTCCAGGTTTCTGAAGCATTTTTCCTTTTGAAGACTAAGGGCACATCGTTTTCACCACCCTAGTATTTGGATCTAAGAAGAACTTTAACCCATAATGCTTCCTCGTTTGTGACTATATTCCAAAGCATAGCAGCTTCTGTAACCAAGTATATATGACCAATATATAATATAAAATATATTGCAAGCTACACAATCCACAAATTGTAAGTTCATGTTTGGGTATTCCAATTTTCACATTTCAAAAGGACTTTTGTAGTCTTTAGAGTGAAAGTTGTTTGGCTAACATTTTATTTCTAAATGTACATTATCGTATTAGCATCAAAAGTCTTTTTCCAAAAAACTAGGGAGAGTTTCTTTTGGCATCTCAAATGTGGTAGTTAAAATTTTTAACCACCTCTTTTCCCTTGATGCCCCTTGTTAATATTTTTCTTAAGTGCAAATAAAAATATTTATAAATATTTTTTCAACATAGTATCAATTTTTTAATATTTATACTTTTTTATTAGTTAAAATATCAAATTTTATATTATTAATTTTTTTAAAAAAATAGAGTAGTTCTGTTTAGAGATTTCATATAATTTACAATAAATTTATCTTTAAAGTATACAGTATAAAATTTATAACAAATTGTAGTAGCAAGTTATGAAAAATGCTTATTTCTCAGGGTTCATCCTCCACATAGCTTTAGTTGTCATAAGTCCATACAACCCGTAGAATTAGATGTAATGAAGTCCATTAGTCACTCTTTGAAAACATTAAGCATAATTTTCAATGAAGTGTTCCCAATCTATTCCGTCGAAGCACTTGCGCTGCACGTGCGCAGCCCATGGACATCAAATAATAAAAGCTTTTTTTCATACGAAAATAATAAAGCTTCGTTGTAATTATTAGTGCGTGTCTGTATAAGTATGTAAAAGAAATAAATTGTGCACTGCATCAAATACGTTTCATTTAAAAAAAATGAGATGAATTTATTTATTATAATGACTTGTAAATAAAGCCATCAATACTAACTAGGTCTCACGGGTTACTCTTTTAGGCCATGTATTTTCAAGAGCTGGGTTTGAAAAAAAATGAGAGATTTTGATGAAAAATGACTTTTAAGCTCTGCCCTTATAGCAGCTAGCTCTTAAACCTTTATAATATTTTTGTAACTTTATTTATACAATTTGCTTAAAGTTTTGTATTAATAAATGGTAAAAAAACACAATTTGTTAAATATTTGTTCTAGCTAATAAAGATAAGGTTAGTGAGATTGTTGAAATAGCACCACCTCTTTTAAGTAAACTTCCATATAAAGGATCTAATATTTTATTTGTGTATGAAGATTGATAATTATAAGTACTAATGAATATTTGTATTTTAAATATTTGATTAAAGTATTTTGTAATTTACACACACACATATTGGCATAATTATAAATTTTAATTAAAGAACAAAAAAAAAATTACACGAGATTTTAGGCCCAACCTCAACCTTGTCAATGAAAGCCATGTTTTAAAAAAAAGCCGATTTTAAGATGACAGTTTATGACCTTGAATCTGAGGATCAGCTAATAAAAACGAAGCTATAAAAATCAAGCCTGCCCTTACTGACATCTATACTTGTAAATAATTTAACTTTATATACATTATAGGAAAAACATATATTTTAATCTCTGCACTTTACTTGTGTTTTGTTACAAGTCCCTGTATTTTTTTTTTTTAGTATTTTAGATCCCTATGCTTTTATTTTTTTGTGTTTTACGTTCATTTAAAGTACCTACACTTTATTCATTTTGTTCATTTAAGAATCTAAAACATCCAAAAATAAAAATATAAAAACACAAAATATTGAAAAAAAAATATAAAAACTTATAATAAAACACAAGCAACACACAGGAATCAAAATATAAATTTTCCTTGCATTATATTATATACCCCTTCCATCCTTAAATATAAATAAATTTTAACTGGCTCAGTCTAAAAAAAGTTAAATATTCCTAATGATTACATTTAAACTTGAAAAGTTTAATTAATATAAAATGCCCTTGTGATATCATTATTTAACAAAGAACAATTACGAAAAAACACATCATAAATATTTCTTCAAATTTGTTTTGGAATACATCGATTAATTGATAAACGCCCCTTGGATATTGGCCACACATACAATCTGTTACCATGTAATCCCTTTTGGGAAAATGAACTCTGCAGATATTTCAATGGCATTTTAGTCGTGTCCATGAAGATATTTTCCCTACAACAGAGCTAAAATGTCCATCACAAATCACACATAAAATCACATATTCTGAAGTCAAATCTCACATAAAATCACATATTCTGAAGTCAAATCTCACAAACAGCAAGTTAGGTTTCCATTTCCAAATTTCAAGAGCACTAGCGAACATGAAGGGGCATTCATTATGGGGCGAAACAACATGAAGGGGCATTCATTATGGGGCAAAACAAGCAGACAAACCATAAACCGTTAACATTTACTGTTAAAATGTCAAACCAAAAGGGTTTACTTGACTGTTTCTCAGAGACCATGGAAAAGAACCATCAACCTCTAATAATATCCACATCTATTTAAACTAGAATCTCATTTCACCACAGAACCTAGCTAATACATTCCTCCAATTCTGTCCCTTCGACGATCGTCCATGCCACCTCGACGATCATCTCTGACACGGTCCATGTATATCTCTTTGGGTGGCGGACCAGCCCTGATTGGAGAGCGGCTCCTTTGTCTCACATCACGTGCCCACCGACCACGTTGAGGAGGAAGTGATGGTAATATAGGTGGAGGGGGGGATAGTGGCCGCCTCTCAAATCTCCTCCTTTCATTGGTGAAACCTTCTCTACCGCGATCCCTATGGTCCCAGTCAACTGGTGGTGGCCTGTCAAATTTGTTTCTCCTGTAGGCATCGTCGATATAATCCATCCGCTCTCGCCGCATGCTATCTGGAAACCTGCCTTCATTCCTGAGGGGAGGCACAGCAGCAGGTCCATAATCTCTAGGGCCATCCCTTCCCAATCCATGAGGAGGAGATCTATAACCATTTATGGTCCTTTCTGGGGAACGGTCCACAGGAGGTCCAGGGAAGCGTCTAGGAGGAGCATGAAGTGGTGGTGGTGGACCAGGATAACCCCTCCTTGGACTTTCAACAGGCGCAGGACGAGACCTATTACAGTTATTACAGTAGTCCCGCCTCGCAAAGTTAAGATTGCCACATCTGCAATATTTGTGAAGCAGATACCTTGAGGAAACATACTGTAAGAAAATAAAACCAGAGATCCCATTTTACAGGCGACTCGGAAGCATCATATGCATACCACCCACAACACTAGAACAAATAATCTCCCTAATATTTCAAGATAGGACAGATATTATACAATCCACAGCTCCTCAGATACTCACACGAAGTAAAATGTTTGGTAAACTAAAACAAATCTACATATAATAATGGATATTATTTAATAATTAAATTTGGAGAAGCACAATCATAGCCAAAAAGTGCAAACCTATTGTTGCCGATAATATAGTCAACATTGCAACTGTCATTTAATTCTAAATGCATCAACAAACAGACCCTTCAGGTTGAATACAAGATGTATAAACAATAGGCCTCAAAAATCTGAGAGAATTGACTTACAGAGGATCAGGACAAATCCAGTCTCCCTCCCTGGGACGCACATTAGGATTGTTTCTTCCAATGCCTTCCCCTCTGACTGGTCCAGGACCATAGCCAGGCCCACCAAAAGCTCTACCCATTGGCCTGCCACCAACTCTTCCTCGACCATAGGGGGGTGATGGGTCTCTATACCTACCAGGGTCCCTCCCCCCACCATATCCACGACTTCGAGACAAATGATTATAATCAGAACCATAGCGATGATCTGCCTCTCTACGATGAACAGGGGAGAGAGAACCTGCACGAATTCTATATCCTGGGAAAGCAAAGACAATAAAGTCCTGAGCTATTCATATACGATGAAAGAAAACTTAACATTGCAATATACTTTAGCAGCCAAAATTTTGTGATCATGCAACTGTCCAATGACCAATATAACGTTTCAAAGGTTACCACCGCATGGCTTCTTTTCTTCATGGATATCTAAATTGAAGCATGAAGAGCGCAGGAGGTTTACATACAATGCCTTCACTGCCACTTCCCAAACACATCATCCATCAGACCAACAGTGTTGATGCGTGCCATATGCAAGCTAGGTCTTTCATTCAACATAAGCTACCGCATCCCTTCCCATGATACAAATCAACCCATATCTTTCTACCTCAGAGTACTACATCCATTTATCACATAGAACACAATATACTTAAATATAGAAAACAACTAACCTAAGGATTTAAATTTCAAATTTAGGAGCAACAATACCATTGCACTGATTTAAATAAGACTAAGGTCAGCACCAGACCGTAAAAGTATGGGCTACATGCCTAAAAGATACTAATCCACCACCATATATCCCAAAAGGAAATAACCACCGCTGGAGCACACACAATCCCAATGTTTAACTTGACCATAGATGATGTTTTAGAATCGTTTTGGATCTATCTCTGATGTAACACCAAAAATTCAGATTCAAGAAACAAAGTTCAATTATTTAGCAATCCTTGCCACAGAAAATATTCATTTAAGCCAGGCACCACAATGTCAGTAAGGCAGTAATCAATTCACCGCTGTTTTCGGCAGAATACTACGCCCACAAGTAACTTCAAAAGAATAGAGATGGAACAGGACTCGAAGTACATTATCCCAAATTTTTTTGGAGATATCCCGTCCTTTTCTGTTAAAGCACTGTTCTCAGTCAAAGGATCAATATGGAAAATATGAACAACTCAGCAGAAGTCACCCAATCACATAACAGCAGAAGTTCAAGGTCCCAACTTGTGAAATAAGTACTCTGAAAGTAGCCTTCTAATTTGAAAATACATAACCATCTGAATGATCCCTAATCAACCCACCAAAAGAAGAACCCCCTAACCCACAAAAACAAAATGTAAAATGAATACCACCAGCCACTAAACAAGCAATGCAAAGATTACTCCAAAAGAAAATTCCCATAGAATGTGTGTCCAGTACTGCAATTATCAAGAGTTCAATAACAGTACAAAACAAGCATGCATAACCAGCAGCCCAAAGAAATTCTGCGCATATCATCATTTTTCCAACATGTCAAGCTCAACTTCACCAAGGTAGCTGTGTGCACAGCCATGAGAACTTCTTGCTGTAAACCCTAGCTATGCCAGCCAACCACCAGTTATATCTTAGGTGATTTACTAAAACCATTTGCAACAGTCAGTTATGGTCCACTAAAATTCCCTTGACCACCTTGATGCCCTACTTCAGTGGCAACGATGAACCACAGTCCATGTTTGACAATAACCTCAATTTCAGATTCAGTTTAACTTCACCCCCCGTTTAACTCCACAAATACCCAAACTAAACATATAACCGTGAACCAGCAAGATGAGAACCCAGACAATAAAATTTATGCTGCAGAACCCCAAAGGTTCATTAAGAATGGAGTACAAATCCAAAACACTTATTAACTCTTAATAGAAAAATTCCAAGATCATGATCCAAGGCTGCATTCATTGGAACATGCCTTCCTCAAGGCCCAAGTTCTTGCTTGCAACATCAGAGCTGTAACACACAAATGTAAAATTTATATACTGGTTTATACTCTATAATCGCTAATAGATCCATATGCTTCGCATGCACACAAGGAAGATGATAGGTCCAGCAAAATCCACCTCCATAAAGATGGCATTGAATAGGAAAAAAAGGCCAAAATGAACAAAAATCTGCAGTGGAACAAAGTATAAATGACGCATTGGTGTCATACTGTCATCAATGATCACACTGATATGCGTATTTAGTATTACATGCAGTAAAAAAGGAAAAGAAATAAGAATTTCATGGAAATGAGACCTACCCATGGTAATTTTTCAATAATCAAAAACAATGTTCTAGAATGTTCTTTTAAAAATTAGAAATAAAATTTTTGTTTTTTGAAAGGAAGCATCAAACCTTAAATTAAGAAGCCTTGCTCAAGTTTAGAGATTCAGGAATAGGGTAAAATAGTTATTCTTGTTTTAAAAGTATTATTTAGGCTGTTATTTTTTTAACATCTTGTAAACAAACACAAAAGAACAAATCCATCTTCAAGGGACCAAAGGCACACACATTTCTTGAGTTCTAAAGTTTTTTAGTTAAATTATGCTTTGACATGTAGCTTAAATAATGATTTTACAATTAATATTCATATGTGTTATGACTCAATGATTACCGTGCTACACTAGTGATATTACTGATTTAATGAGGTTCATATACTTACAATTATATTGGAATAATAAATAATCAATCTGCTATATAAAATCAAAATTATCAGTCTCTATTCATTAATATGACGTCAATATAAAATCAGATTATCTATCAATATTCCTTTGCTATTCATTGCAATGATTTTTTTAAATTAAAAAAACACTATATTTCTTAACATTGCGTGTTTCTTTGAAAATATTTTCAATATGCACCTACAACGTGTAGAAAAAATTTCAAGCCAAGACACTGGTGTGGTTCCCATGCATTACACAGAATCCGATAAAAGTCATAGTATTTTATCACAGTGCCATACTGTTTATGGCTTATAAATAGCACGAACCTGTTAGAACATTTATATTATATATAAATATATAAATGTTATTTCAAATCTTTCTATAGAGATGTAAAGATACTCACAAGCTCATGAATAGTGTGACTTGCTAGAATTTTATATTATATAGAGATATATATATGTTATTTCAAATCTTAGTTTTAGTTTATATAATAAGTCTCTTTTACCTTAACACATTGTTTACACACAGGAGGGTACCTTTCTAAGGTTTTAAACCTAAGATTTTTAGAGATCCAGTCCTTAAAGGCAGCTTTAAGCTTTAGCCTTTGCCTAGCTTGGGTAAATTCAAGCTCGAGGGCCGGGTTTGAATTTTGAATAACACTAACATAGCCTGGAAGGTTATTCCATCTTGCTTCGTGAAGACCATTTGCCTCTAAAGAAATAAATAGGGGGTTATCATATATACAAGGAGAGCACGACATTTCTAACCTAAAATCCCATACAAACCCCCGCCAACCCTGGGAGTGAAAAATCTTATCCAATAACATTGGAATTCCCAAAATTGTACCACCACCAGCAGCCTCCAGTTCAATCATATTAAGTCTCTAGAAACTGTACTACTCGGTTTAAAAAGTGCTTATTAACCAGCTACCTAAAAACTTCCAAAACAACAACAACAAATCCCACAATTCAGAAGGTAGGAACAAGCCATTCCCTTCGCATCCAGACATACAAAACAAACTCAACTACTTGTCTCATATAGATTACGAAACCTAATTCAGTTACTCGTATAATTAGGATATTCGACAAAAGAGAAGGAAGATAAACAAACCCGGGTCATCGGCGTATCGATCGGATCGGGAATAGGGAGGACGTGAATCACGGTGAACCTCGCCGGTCTCGTAATCGCCACCGCGGCCTCCACTGCCGCCGCCACCGCCTCCGCCGTCACTGTTGGAGGGCCGAATAACGAGGCTGCTTAAGAGAGGTTGATGATGGTGCGGAGCGGATGGGTCCTTGTCTCGCGAAGCCATGCTTCTTCACTTTCCGTTAAGGAACTGACTGCTTGGAAATGTCCGGTATTTTGTTGACGGGAAGTGATGGCGCATATAAACCCTACACATAGAATGCCCTTGTCTTTTCCGCACGCAGAAGTAAAATTACACAAATGGACAGATCCTCTTCTCCTCCTTTTTTTGGGTAAAAACAAACGGACACGTAAAATTAAAAATTTAAAAACTAAATATTAATATATATCCTCTTATCCAATTTATAAATATTAATTCGTATTTTCTTCAATTATATTTATTAATCACTTTTAATATTTTTATCAAAAATAAACAAATTTTAAATATTATTAACTCTGCCTAAAAATTTAATAAATTTTTTAACTTTATTTTTATTAAATATATAATTTAAAAATAAAATATGTTGATATTTAATAACTTTTTCAATACTTAATAAGGATAAAAAGGTAAAGATGGACACAATAACTATTGAGATGTCTTATAAATAAAATTAAAATAAATACTCTCTCTGTCCTATAAATTAATTAATTTGGAAATTGAAGAGTAATAGAATCCCAAAACATTTGAAAACAAATAATAGAGTAATAATATTGGGTTAATGAGCAAATAAGACTTTAAATTCTTGCTCAGAAATTACTTTTCACCCCAAACTCTTAAAATATACAAAATAAATTATAAACTTTAAAATTCATAGCAAAATAACCTCTGATTACTAACTTTTTAACACTGTTACTATTCACACAAGTACTGTTCAGGGTTTATTTTCCTATGAATTTAACCCTGACTATTACAGTACCCATGTGGATAGTGATGGTGTTAAAAAAGTTAATGATTTGGGTTTTTTTGGCTATGAATTTAAAATTTTAAAATTTATTTTATATATTTTAAGAGTTCAGGATCTAGGATGATTTTTAAGCAAAAGTTCAGGATTTTATTTCATTAACCCAATAACATTTCAAGTTATTTAAAATTAGAGTAAAAAAGATAGTAAAAACATGAAAATAGGCTTAGCATTTAAAATTGGTTCAAACAAAGGCAGAAAAAGCATTATAACAAACTATGCATGTTTGTTGCAGCTAATGAACCATCAACCTTACATTACTCCTTATATCATTTGATCAAATTCATGGGCTATTAACTAATATTTTAAAAGTTAGACAGGTTGTTGAACTAGAAAAGCCAATTGTTCTTAGTTTTTATGATCTAACCAGTCAGACCAGCTATTGATTTGATGATGTAATAATTAAATAAAAAATATTAAATGCATATATAAAATAGATATAAGAAAAAAAATCTATAGTATGTTAGTAAAATAACATAACATGACCTTAAATTGATAATATTATAAATTATAATTTTATAATTTTATAATTTATTAAATATAGGTGAATCTTGGTCAAATTAGATATAAGAAGACTAAAAAATATATACATTTACATCTATAACTGTCAATATCTTTATAAAAAAATGGTCTTAAATCTTATTATATATATATATATACAAAATGTCTAAAAATAAAGTTGGCTTTTAATAAGATCTAATTTTTTAATTTTTCTATTTTTTATATTTTAAAGCTTTTTTTAATACTATGTTTAAAATTATTTACTTTTCTAAAAACTACTTTGGTTCCCAGATTAACTTCGGTCCAATCCAGTTTAATTTGGAAATGATTGTCTAGTACAAACCAAGCCATTAATAGCTCCAACCGATGGTCCAACTGTAATGTCTGCCTTAACATTACCAATACTCTCCACACCATCACAACAAATAATGATAATTAGGATTGCGCTTAAATTCACAGTAAATGCAAAAAAGTTAAAACTAATAATCCATTAGAAATAATTTTGAATATTTGGGATCTCATAAAAACCCTTCAAATAAGTAGTTTGAACTCAAACTTAATGGTTTATAAAAATATGGGAAGTATGGAAAAGTTGTGGGAAGTAAAACACTTGAAAATAGAGCAAAAAATGTCATTTTTGTATATTCTAGTACATACGCCGTAGCTCGTGGTCTATGCGCCGCGGCATGTAGTATAGAAAGACCAATTTAACCACTGTACCATGTGCCATGGCTTGTGTGCAATGCACCATGCCGTAGTGTACATGTCCCTATCAATGCTGTCATGACAGTTTTTCAGGACGAACTTCGAACACATGCCATTTTCGCATTTAATATCGAATTGGAGTGATTCAAACATTCACATGAAGCTTATTCAATAAGCTAACTAATGATATAAGTTTCATTATAATTCGACACTGTATGAGAATTTTAAATACTCAGATGAAAAATTTATTTTTTAAAATGATTTTCAAACATTCAAGCACTTAAACCTCAAAACTTATATTATTAACCCATTTTGAAGCTTGAACTTAGTCCAATTGACCAATATACACCTAATTGAGTGTTTAAACACACAATAATACACCAAACACAAAATTTGGCCACTTATTTCACCCAAGATGGCTAAAAACACAAAATTACAATTATACACCATTTGGCCTCTATTGCCATGTAATATATCACATGTACATAATCACAATTATATCACTGTATATATCACATATACAAGATTCCTTACACTTGTATTAGCATTTTAACTCATTACCATAAAAATCACTATATATTTACATCATATACAATATTAAGCTAAAATACAAAATATCATATTATAATACAAGTGCATCCAATCAAAATGACATGCATTCCTTATTGGTAACTCATGTTATCATTTATGTAAGTTTACGTATACAACTCAAAATAAAACTAGGCATTACAAGTACAAGTGGCACTAATCAGCTAATCCTTACCCGATTCCTTCCCCTTGCTCATACTTGACAATACGACCTGTAAAGTAATAACCACAAGGTGAGATAAAATCTCAATAACTAAGATAATCTACATTATCGATTAACATGCTAAGTTATAAACAAGTTTTAAAACATACATAACAAACGCATTATATATAATTCACCAAAACAAAATGTATGCTGCTAATCATCCGTTCCTCCAATACTCCCGATTAAACTGATAGGCTATTTCACAAAATCAAACCACATGTATGGTATCCAAACTCACCATTCATGGTAGGACTACTTAGTTAAGGCATCCTAAACCACTTATAGACTATAAGTTCCCCCATTATGAGTAATTGGGGTATTATTACTCTAACACTACATCCTACATATGCTAAAGAGCACAGACTCTAACTCTTCACCCTTTTGGGTATTAAGGAGAGTAAGTCTTCAACACCACACACTTTTTTAGACACTAAGAAGAAATATAAGCTACACCTGGTGTCCAGAGGTGCTAGTAGTGTCATATAGACTTAATCTCCACTAACTCCATTAAGGTGACCTCCCACCTTCTAACATGTCATATTTCACTACATATCTCCACTTGACTATGTATAAACCACTTTCTAAACAAATATAATGAATCTTACCAGTTACTTTAAAAACATAAAATTTCATAAAACAATACTTTACTCCTTTTCTAAAATAGTTAACCTTTACAAAATTTGTACATATATACATAATAAATCATACAAAATAATTTGAGAATAACTTATACAAGGTAATAAATAATGTAACTTATCTAGTTACCTCAACCCTTTTGTTACTAAAAGGGTTACTTGTGGTACTAAATTTCCTCTGGTGTCAAAGCAAGTTTTCCTGAACCACAATCTATAATAACAAGTACTATATGTTAATTTTCAATTAACACAAGCACTATTAACTACCAACATCATCTCAATTTTCACACTTCTCACTCATATTCTCAATAAAGAGGCTTGTCAAGATTATAATTTGTTCACACAATCTCCTCAAGCTTCCCTCTAACTCTATCACAACATAACATTTGATATTTCAAACTGTCACACCTCAAAATCCTATAGTCAAGCTAGGGCTTAATCCAATTTACAGCAAATAACAAATAAGCTTCATATTACCACTTATCTAAGGTTAAGAAATTTAAATCAAACCTTTGAATTCACTTGAAATCTTTAAAACATAGACTCACAACTTAATCCATTTAGAACAAATTCACCCACTTCCCAAATCCATTGAAAAATAGATGTAAAGGTAGAAGAGGTAAGAAACTTACTCAAGAGTTTAAAGGCCCAATTTAGCTTTAAAATTCTCTCAAATTGAAACCCTAGCATTTCTTAAATCTTCCTCCTTCAAGTTTAAAGCTTTTTCCCACCAAAACTAACTTTTTTTGATTATTTTCATGTTTGATACTTGTGCTGTACTGTGCACCACATCACATTACACACAAGCCATGGCTCACAATGTAGAGAGCAAAAGCTCACTGTTGCTCCCCACAATGCTACCCAATTTGATCTAACTTCTATCTTAACTCAATTTATAGCTAAATATGACCCAAAAAGTCAATTAACAACCAAAACTATAATTAAATTAATTAATCATTTTTAACTAATTTATTCCTTAATTAGCAATTTATTCTAGATTTAAAGTTTTGGATGTTACACCAATTGTGCCGTTTGATTTGGTTTTTAAATAATTACTATTAACTTATATAGGTCTAGTCTATATGACTGGACTAATCTTGCTTTTTAATTATAAGGAGTCACCTAATGAAAGGTTCACATACTCATTTTTGGACCATGAATTCTCTCTTTTTGAATTACGGGATATTATAATGGGTTAATAAGCAAATAGGACCCTAAACTATTGCTCGAAAATCGCCCTAGACCCTAAACTCTTAAAATATGCAAAATAAACCCTAAACTTTTAAATTCATAGCAAAATAAAATCTAACCATTAACTTTTTAACATCATATTTGTTCATGTAGGTATTGTTTAAGGTTTATTTTTTAATGAATTTAACCCTGACTATTATAGTACCTGTATGAACAGTTATGACATTAAACAATTAATGGTTAGTGTTTATTTTGCTACATATTTAAAAGTTTAGATTTTATTTTATATATTTTAAGAGTTTAAGATTGAGGGTGATTTTTGAGCAAGAATTCAAAGTCCTATTTGCTCCTTAACCTTATTATAATTGCTTAATCCACAACATCCCACTTAGGAATC